CTATAATTGGAAGTATGAGACTTTCCTGAGTTCTGAAAATTCTAGCAAATTATAAAACCTGGGGAAGGGTCATGAGACCCCTGATTTGTAACCAGCTGTTTAGAAGTGCAGATGTCCTGGGGACCCCATTTGTGGTTAGCATCTGAAGTGGGGGCAATGCGTGGGGTCTGCATTAATTCTGGGTGTTATATCAGCATTGCAGGACACCAGTTGGTAGCAGAGAATTGGTGTCAGTCACACCTTGTGACATTGATTCTTCTTCAGTTACCAAATTGTTTTTTATATTCATTTTATTTTTGCTTACCTTTAAGGAGAATTTTACATATTGGTGCCCACTCTGCATGCTTACAGGTGTGCAAAATGCTCCCAAAGCCCTCTATTTTGATCTCCAAATCTCTCTCTTTTCTATTTTCTCCTTAATGCCCAAAACACCCAGTGAACATTTGTAATTTCCACTCCAGAGGATTTCCTATCATGTCTTAAGTTTTAAGGATCATGAAGTCTTGAATAGCACTTCTTTCTAACAGGTCAGAGTATTCTGCTCTGATGGAGATAATTACAGCGCCATCTCCACAACCTCAGCTCTTGGATCTTTTCTCTTTTTTCTTTTTTACCTAGTTTTCTACCTAGTTTTTTCTCATTGGTTGATTTCACCCAGTATCATGGTTGTAAATGCCATTTATATATTCCAAACTTCACATTTCCTCTGAACTCCAGATTCTTCCATTCAACTGCCCAGTCATCATTTCCACTTACAGGTCTGGTACTCTTCTCAAATCTAACACCTACAAAACTAAGCTCACAATGTTTTCTGCAAATTCTGTACCTCCCACAATCTTCCCAATCTCAGGCAGTGGCAGCTTCATCCTTCTGGCTGCCCAGGTGTGGTCCTTGACTCTTTTTTTCACACCCCGTGTCTGATTCATCAACAAACTCTAATGGCTCTATTTCTAAATATATTCCAAATTCAACTACTTCTCTTTACCCTCACTGCCACCAGTAGGTTCTAGTCATCATTATTTCTTGATTAAATTATTGCAATATCCTCCTAAATGGTCTCCTTGCAAAGATGTCCCATGCTCCCGACCTCCAAAGTCTATTCCGAACAGAGAGAGCAAAGAGATTATATTAACAATAAGAAAAAATAAATAATTCTGATCATGTCACTTCTCAGCCTGAATCCTCCAATGATATCTGTCCCATTCAGAAAAAAAGCCAAATTTCTTAGTAAAACCCACAGGCCCTACATGACCTGGATTCATTTCCTCTCTGACTTCATTTCCCAACTTCACCCCTTATTCACTCCATTACAACCACAATGGTTTCCCTTCTATTCCTCTCACATACTAGGCATACTGCCACCCAGGGCTATTTACTAACTATTCTCTTTGCTTGGAATACCCCTCCCCCAAATACATGGCTCATGCCTCACTTAATTCAAGTCACTTCTGAAAATTCTGCTTTTGATTGAGACTTTCACTGGCTACCCCTTATTTAAAATGTCAACCTCCTCATCCCGATAGTCATATTCCTTCTTTCTGCTTGATTTCTCTTTTAAGTCGTATAACCATCTAATACATCGTGTGTTTTACTTACCCAATACCCAATTAGGAGCCAAATTACATACCATAAGCAATTTAGGAGTTTGGGAAAGACTTCATAGCACAGGATGATTTTAAATGACTTTTGAAAAAATTGATGGGATTTGAATAGTCAGTGGGAGAAAGGAGAGCATTCTATGTGGGGGGTGCGGGGGAAGACATGAGCTATTTTTCATAGATTTGAAAGGCAAAATCCCAATCTTTTAAGTAAGTAGGGCACTGTAGTACTTTTTTGGGGCATCTCCTTGAACACAAGCACTTTTTCATCTTTGTTTTCTCAAAGTATATCCCAGTACCTGGAATAAAATAGAAATTCAGTAAATATTGGGTGGATAATTGGATGAATAAATGGGTGGATGAATGAATGAATCAATGGATGGATCAAAGAATGAGTGAGTAGGTAGATGATACCAATTCATGAATTCATCTACTTTCTGTTTAAACTACATTGGGCTCTGATGCATGATAATCATAAAGATAATTTTTTACCCAGTAGATCAAAAGACTGAGTGAGTTAATGGGACATGTATGGAGCCTGCTTAAGATTCTCTCTCCCTCTCTTGCTCTCCCCGTCTCTGCCCTGCTTGTGCTTTCTCTCTCTCAAAACAAAACAAAACAAAAACAAACAAACAAACAAAAAGGACTGAGTTAGCTTTGACCCACATAGGAAAGAATCTTTCTTAAAAGACTGTAAGAATGTTTTTTATTGTTGTAAAACACACATTATGTTAAATTTAGAATCTTAACCATTTTTAAGTGTACAGTTTAGTAGCATTGAAGACTTTGACATTACTGTGCAATAGATCTCTAGAACCTTCTCATCTTGCAATACCAAAATGCTATACCCACAATATACTAATTACCCATTTTCCTCTCCTCAACTGCTGGTAACCCCCTTTATACTTTCTGTTTCTATGTTTTTGACTATTTTTTTAATTAAAAAAAATTTAATTTTAAGTAGGCTCCACGCCCAATGTGGGGCTTGAACTTATGACCTTGAGATCAAGAGTTACATGCTCCACTGACTGAGCTAGCCAGACACCCCAATTTTGACTCTTCTAGATACTCTGTATGAGTGGAATCATACAATATTTGTCCTAAAAAGACTATAGGAAAATTTAACTTTCCTTTATGCTACTTTAACAGGAGTAGTCATTGGAAAACATTCTACCTTGGAAGCTAAAGTTCCTGTTGTGCAATTCAAAACTACATTGAGAAATAAGAGCTGATGATTAATTTCCTGGTTTGATCTTTATGTGTATTCAGTAGAGAAAATGATAATTATTTTCTTTTTATAAATGAGGCAAGTCAAAATATCATATTTTATCAATTCCGAGTCATTCATTTCTGCCCCTCCCACATTTTAATATCTCTGAAATAAATTCATGTCTTATAATCAATGGTATTTTTGCCTTGTGTCAGTTTAATTGGTTGGCATCATTTCCTTTTTCCTGGTGCCGTTTTTTTAAAGTTTATTTATTTTGAGAGAGAGAGAGAGAGAGGGAGAGAGGAGAGCACAAATGGGGAAGGGGCAAAGAGAGAAAAAGAGAATATCCCAAGCTGACTCCACACTCTCAGCACAGAGCCTGATGCAGGGCTCGAACCCATTAAACATGAGACCATGCCCTGAGCCGAAGTCAAACACTTAACTGACTGAGCCACCCAGGCACCCCCTTGGTGGCATTTTTTATGGACACATTTTACAAGCATTTGTGCCTTTGGACTATGAAATAAGATAAATGATTAACTCAAAATCTCATACCCAGTCCATGACCATAGTAGAATGGACTGGAACTAAGTCTTCCTCAGTTTTAAAGTGAGGTTGTATTTTTTTTTTTAATTTTTAAAAATGTTTTATTTATTCTTGAGACAGAGAAAGAGAGATAGACAGAGCTTGAGCAGGGGAGGGGCAGAACGAGAGAGGGACATGGAATCCAAAGCAGGCTCCAGGCTCTGAGCTGTCAGCACAGAGCCCAACGCCAGGCTCGAACTCACAAGCTGTGAGATAATGACCTGAGCCAAAGTCAGACGCCCAACCAACTGAGCCATCCAGTTGCCCCTCAAAGTGATGTTTGTTGTTTTTTTTTTTTTAATGCTTATTTATTTATTTTTGAGAGACAGAGACAGAGCACGAACAGGGGAGGAGCAGAGAGGGAGACACAGAATCCGAAACAGGCTCCAGGCTCCGAGCTGTCAGCACAAAGACCGACGTGGGGCTCGAACTCACAAACCGTGAGATAATGACCTGAGCCAAAGCCGGACGCTCAACCAACTGAGCCACCCAGGTGTCCCTAAAGTGACGTTTTAATGACTAGGTAACATTTTCACTAAAAACCAAATTGCTTTTATGCCATACCTTATGAATTTAAGGCAATTCTCATTTACTTCTAGCTGCCTCCCATTTGATGTTAAAAGCTTTTAGTAAAGAAATTACAAGTTTCAGAGACACTTATGACAAGCTTCTTGCAGATGGGACTTCACCTCATGTTGCCAGATATAGCAGATAACAATATAGGAATGTCTCACATATTGCGTGGGACATCCTTACACTAAAAAGTAGCTTATTGTTTATCTGAAACTCAAATTTGACTGGGCATCTTATATTTAATCTAGCAACCCTAACCTCACCTAATCCTTGGAAGAAGTGCTATCAGTGGATTGGTCTGGACTTTGCAAAAGATTCTCAGAGGATTAGGCAGGGAGGTGTAAGATGCACCAGTTAATCAAGAGGAGAAGCCCTCTGGACAGTATCTGACCCAGGGTCTTGAAAGTCCCTTGATTTGGCTCCTAAGCTTCATGTTGGAAGTGTACCAAATACTCATTTTGGCTCAGTGCCAAATGACCTAGTGTTACAATAAATATTGGGCTGAGGCCAAATATCACCAACTTAGAATGAACTTCTAGGGCAAGCTGTTTTCTTTAAAGACTCTCAGGCTGAATGGAATTAAATAGCAAAATAAAAATAAATGTGTTTTTTGAATGTTATTTTGTTTAATGTCACAAATGGTAATGATCTAATAATACTGCAAAGACTATAAATATGGTTTGTATGTAATCTCTATTATTCTGCCTTCCATCCTTATTTAAAATTGTACAAACATTTGTTGGCTTAAAAAGGATAGTGTGTTCTTCCTACAGTTATCTAGTAGAAGTATTCTTACTTAATATTCCTATTAGTTGATGATCTATTTCCTTATTGATTAAACTATATATTAAATTTTTTAATCATCGATTTTGTATATAAAATTAATAGCTTTCACAATCATTAGTTGTAGTAGCATCTTATAGTAATAAATACATAATTATGTTTCAGCTGATTGATAAAATTGTAACATGTAAAGCTCACGAAGGAGACTTTCGTTTCACATTATGTTTCTATGCTTACCTCTATTTGAAAATGAATATTCAGATATTAACACTAAATTCAAAAGAATGATTTATCTGTTTTATTTAAACTCCAAGGGTGGTCCTGGACCAGCAGCATTACCTGGGAGGAATACATAGGATCTCAGGCCCACCCTAGACCTGAGGAATCAGAATCTAAGGATGGGGCTGCATTTTGAATATTGCATTTCGTCATTATTGTCTAATCAGCTGACATTGATGAAGAACCAGGGACTCTGAGTGGTCCCTGTGCCTCAAAATGACAACTGGACCTGATTCAGGACTTCTCTCATCTGTGAACTATGGGGATTATTTCAACCAATGGTGAGCAGATGTCAATCTCATTCTATTCCACCCAGTGTTCCTTTTTAGTCCTTACTTAGGTCCTTTAACTACCCCCAGAAATCTCCTACCTCCCATCTAGCTTTTATCCCTGGTTTTCTACACAGCAATAACTAACTGATACAATGTCCCCCTATGAAAGCTTCATCAAAATAAGTATAAAGGCTTACCCAAAAAAATATCTTGGGAGAGGATATAAAAAATATCTTGTTAAGAGGCTTATTCTAAAGAATGATTCTCAGCCCTGGCTGCATATCCAAATTACCTGTTAGCTTTAAAAATTCTGGGGGCGCCTGGGTGGCGCAGTCGGTTAAGCGTCCGACTTCAGCCAGGTCACGATCTCGCGGTCCGTGAGTTTGAGCCCCGCGTCAGGCTCTGGGCTGATGGCTCGGAGCCTGGAGCCTGTTTCTGATTCTGTGTCTCCCTCTCTCTCTGCCCCTCCCCTGTTCATGCTCTGTCTCTCTCTGTCCCAAAAATAAATAAACGTTGAAAAAAAAAATTAAAAAAAAAAAAATTCTGATATACAAGGATCCCTCCAAACAATTTAAGTCTGAATCTCTGAGGGTGCAATGTAGGCGTTAGTCTTTTTCTAAAAGTTGTCCAGAGGATGATTCCAACATGCAGCCATTGTGGAGAACCAACGATCTAAAGTCTGGTTTAATTACCACTCCTCCTCTATGCAACTCAGCCTATGCAGCCATATTTGACACTCGTGGTCTTAGAAGTTCAAGTGAATGAAACACAGGACTTCCTAGTTTGGAAAGTCTCATAATCTCTTTATGTCACATGGAGGAACATTTTAAGCAGAGACAAATGGATTCTAAATGCACTTTAGGAATTAAATTCTTATCACTAATTTCAGACACATCAAAGTTGGCAAATCAAAAGTTAGCCATAATACTCATGTTTCATTTTCTCTTCTTACTAATTTGGTGACTCCCCCCCCCAAAATGTGTTGAGGTACATTCCCTATCTGCCCCTTTATTTTACCAGTAGGAAAATGATCTCACATTTCAGTGAGACTCAGAGTCCTGTAGACAGTTCGGGATTGACTTTTAAATTGGAATGCCAGGTTAAATATTGACTCTGGTCTCTCAACCTAACACAGTCTTTTGGGGATAAACATCCATTTTTAACAACTCTTCTGGCCATAAGACTGTTGTTTATATTTAACCCAAATCCCTCTATCAGCTGAACAGTTCATCTCTCCTCTTGAAGAGGAATTCTTGATTACAGTTCCACAATCCCAGGTGTGCTTTGGAATCTAAAATTTGTGGAGTGTAGAAAGGTAATGCAGTGCATATATGGCAAATCATATCCCATCTCCAGGGAGTTCTAAAGCAGCATCCTGTAACAAACATATTTAAATCTGTGCAAATGAAACATAAAAATTCACAGCAAGCATGATGAATAGACATTATAAACAGTCTTATGTGAGTTCTGATTTTGTCATTATATTTAGGAGAAATTTTACTTTTCAGAGCTTTTTCTACCTGGGCATTAAGGATAAGAGATTGTAGACTGCAAGTTCCTGCAAAAAAATGAAATTGAGTGAACTTCAATTGGGAAAGGCTGAAGGGGAAACAAATGAACAACAGCAGTGGTATATGCTGCAAGAGCACATTTAACAGATTTCTTCCCACAAACAAACTGGATTTGGAATGAAAATTGTCCGCGGCCAGACTCAGAGTCCCAACCAGGAGACCTTGCAATAAAAAGGTACTGATTTGGATTGGGAGTTGGGTTTTTAGGGAGAGACAGAAGAAGGGAAATAATAACAAGTCTTGGGAGTGTCTAGAAATGGCATCTTGTATGTGGGCTAATTATTTTCAATGATGAGTCATCCCCCAAGCAGTTCACAGCTGGCTCCCTTTTAGTTCTCCATTTTAAAATTCATCTACATCAGTGCAATTAGTGGTGAGTTGTTCAGGATGTCTTGGCCCACCCTTGGACAGACCCATTGTTCCTGGAGCTTTTTAGAAATCTCATGGCTTCTCTTCAGATCTTCTGATTTTGCATCCAAAATTCTTGGGTCTTGTCTTTTCCTTGACTGTTTTCTCTTGACAGGGAGAAGGAAGGGATCCCTTGGGTCTCCTTTGATTATTGAATTGGCTTTTGCTCAAGGAACCTAATAGGTTAGTGAAAACAAGGTGCAAAGTGGGAAGCTCTGGCCCTCTTTTAAGAAACCATATGCTGCTTTTCTTTCTCAGCATATTCCTGAAAACTTCCTTTTGGCATCATGTTTTAAAGAATGGATCTAAGCTGAGATGTGTTAAATCTAAGATAGGTTAAAATTCAGAAGCAAACCATTTTTTCCTCTCAAACAGTTCACTGGGTACAATAAGCACTTCCGAAGTGTAAAGTCACTTTTAAGATAATCTTAGGGCTTTTTGTAATGTAAATTTTGTCACTGCAGAGCGTACATACAGAAAAGTGCCCAAATCATAAGGGAACGGATAGATAAGTGAACTTATGACAGAGTTTACACATTGTATAGCCAGTGCTTTGGCCAAGAAATAAAACATGACCAACACTCCAGAAGCCCTTCCTGTGGTCCCCAGGCCAAGGATGACCACCAAACTTCTAAGACCATAGGTTAATATTTTGTTTGTTAATTTACATCTTCTGTTTTTTATTTCTTTTTCACAACACTATAGATGGAGATTCATCCACATCGTCTTGATGGCTGCAGTGCCACTGTTTTCATTGCTGTGTAGGGCTCTCTTGTATGCTCTGCCATTTAAACCTTCTACCACGGCGGCTTTTGGCTTCTGACTGCTCTGGGCTGCTAGGGCTAGTGCTGCTTGAAGCATTCTGGTATGTGTCCTGTGTGAAGATATATATTCTTTCCTGTCGAATACCTAGAAGCAGGTTTGCATAGTTGGGTCATATGACGTGTACATGTCACCTCTCATCCATGCTGCCAAATGTTCTCCAAAGTGATTGCACTAATTTTCACTCCCAGCAGCAGTTTCTGAGAGTTCCATGGAGCTTTTAAAAACAGATATCTGGGGCTCCTGGGTGGCTCAGTTGGTTAAGCGTCCGACTCTTGATTTAGGCTCAGGTCATGATCTCGCGTTTTGTGGGTTCAGGCTCCGTGTGGGCTCTGCATTGACAGTGTGGAGCCTGCTCAGGATTCTCTCTCTCCCTCTCTCTCTCTGCCCCTCTCCCACTTGTGCTAACTCTCTCTCAAAATAAATAAATAAGCTTTAAACAAATTTAAAAACAGGGGTACCTGGGTGACACAGTTGGTTAAGCATCCGACTTCGGCTCAGGTCTGATCTCACCGTTCTTGAGTTCAAGCCCCACGTTGGGCTCTGTGCTGACAGCTCAGAGCCTGGAGCCTGTTTCAGATATTGTGTCTTCCTCTCTCTGCCCCTCCTCTGCTCATGCTCTCTCTCTGTCTCTTAAAAATAAACCTTAAAAAAATAAATATTAAAAAATAATTTAAAAACAGATATCCAAGCTCAGTAATACTTTTCAGTTTAGGTATCTGAAGCTGTCCATTGGTATTATATCTATAAGGATTCTCACAATTAATCTCCAAGCCTGTCCTTACCTTTAAAAACAATTTCATGTTTTGGGGCATCTGGATGGCTCAGTCAGTTAAGCTTCCAACTTTGGCTCAGGTCATGATTTCATGGTTCATGATTTCAAGCCTCAGTCAGGCTCTGTGATAACAGGTCAGAGCCTAGAGTCTGCTTTGGATTGTGTGTGTGTGTCTCCCTCTCTGCCCTCCCCCACTCATACCCTGTCTCTCTCTCAAAAATAAATAAAACATTAAAAAAAAATTCTTTTAACTTAAAAGAATAAAAAAATAAATAATTTCATGTTTTAAAGTAAGCTTCAAGTTTCAAAAAAAAAAAAAATGCCTGGCTTACTGTTTTATGAGCTTCATGGCACCCTGTGGCCTTTCCTGTCCTTCCCTGATGAATCTTCATCAGCAAAGCCTGGTGTTCTGGTTTGACCATTTGTGAGTTTGCAGGGATCAGTTTAAGAGACTTACAATTTAAGAACACGTTTCAGTATTAGAACTTAATTCATGAGTCATTGGAGAGTTTGCTGAGAAAGTGTTCTCAATTCTAGCAAAATCCAATATTGACCCTAACTTCAGACAACAAAGTTGTCAGGGAGATTTTCGCATGTGGTTTCTGTATCTCATTACTTTGTAGTCACATTAGTAGACATTCATAAAGCAAAGAATATATAAAGGCCATATGCAACTCACACAAGGTTTCCTCTAATAATGGCCTTATTTTATGCACAGTTATATAAGTTAGTAAAAATAATACCTATTTATTAACTGCTGACTATGCGTCAAGCAGTGTAATCCAGGCTTTAGACCCTTGCTACTCAAAATGTAGTCCAGGACCAAGCAGCATGGACAACATCTGGGAGCTTGATAAAAATGTAGTCTCAGGTCCCATCCAAACTTGCTAAGTCAGAACAAGATGCCCAGGGAATACTGATACATGCTAAAGTTTGAAAAATGCTGGTTTTAGACACATGCGAATTAATTCTTGCTATGGTATGACCATCTAAACACAGGAGGAGAAAAAGCCCCATTTTATTTATTGTTATTTCATATCTACCTATTTATAACATCTTTTTCCCCCAACTTTATTGAGATATAATTGACACATGACCTGTAAATTTAAGCGGTACAATGTGTTGGTTTGATACACTTAATGCAAAATGATTACCAACATAGTGTTACTAAAACCTGCATCACATCACCCACTTACCATTTCTTTTTTTGTGGTGAGAACATTTAATATCTACTCTCTTAGTGACTTTCAAATATATATATATAGATATTCAGATCCCCTGCCCATTTTTAATTGGATTGTTTTTTGCTATTAGGTTGTATGAATTCTTTATATATTTTGGATATCAATCCTTTACCAGATACATGATTTGCAAATATTTTTTCCGATTCCATAGGCTGTGTTTTCATTTTGTTGATGGTTTCCTTTGCTGTGCAGAAGCTTTTTTAGCTTGATATAGTATCACTTATATATTTTGCTTTTATTGCCTTTGCTTTTGGTGTCAAATAAAAAAAAAAAATCATTGCCAAGACAGATGTCAGGGAGCTTACTGCCTATGTTTTCTGCTAGGAGTTTCATGGTTTCAGGTCTTACATTCAAGTCTTTAATCCATTTTAAGTTAATTTTTATGTATAGTGTTAGATAGTGGTCTAGTTTCATTCTTTTGCACATGGCTATCCATTTTCTCAATACCATTTATAAAAAGGCTGTCCTTTCCCCATTGTATATCCCTGGTTCCATTTTTTTTTCAAAGTAGGCTCCATGCCCAACGTGGGGCTTGAACTCACCATCCCAAGATCAAGAGTCGCATGCTCTTCCAACTGAGCCAGCCAGACACCCCTATTCTTGGTTCCTTTGTCATAAATTAATTGATCATTGATATGTGGGTTTATTTCAAGGCTCTCTATTCTGTTCCATTGATCTGTATATGTATGCCTATATATGCTTTGGGGTTTGCTTTCGTTTTTGTTTTTGCTTTCTTTTTGAGAGAGAGAGAGAGAGCACTCGAGCAGGGGAGGGGTAGAGGGAGAGAGAGAATCTTAAGCAGGCTTTATGCCCAGCATGGAGCCCAATGTGAGGCTCAATCTCACAACCAAGAGATCATGACTTGAGCCGATATCAAGAGTGGGACACTTAACTGAGCCACCCAGATGCCCCATGCATTTATACTTTGACCAAGATTTGTTTCCATATTTTAGCTATTGTGAATAATATTGCAATGAACATGGGAGAGCAGATATCTTTTTGTGATATCGTTTCCATTTCCTTTGGATATATACCAAGAAGTAGGATTGCTAGATCATCTGGTAATTTTATTTTTAATTCTTTTAGTAACCTCCATATTGTTTTCCATAGTGGTTGCACCAATTTACAATCCCATTTTATTTCTTTTTTGTTAAGTTTATTTATTTACCTTCAGAGAGAAAGAGCATAAGCTGGGGAGGGGCAGAGAAAGAGGGAGAGAGGGAATCTCAAGTAGACTCTGCACTGTCAGTGAAGAACTCATGAATGGTGAGATCATGACCTGCGCTGAAATCAAGAGTCAAATGCTTAACCAACTGAGTCACCTAGGCACCCCCATAGCCCATTTTAGAGATGAGGAAGCAGAGGCATAAAAAAATCCTTGAAAATGCAAATTTATTTATTTATTTATTTATTTATTTATTTATTTATTTAATGCCTAAAGTAGGCTTCACGCCCAGAGTGGAACCCAACATGGGGACTGAACTTACGATCCTGACATCAAGACCTGAGGCAAGATTAATAGTGGATCACTTAACTGACTGAGCCACCCAGGTGCCCCAAAAATGCAAATTTAAAGAAAGACTGACAGTAGAGCACAGGCTTATAATCATTATGCTGTGTGACCACCAACCAATTTTATAAGCATTTGATTTATGTGGACATTCTTAGGACCTTAACTTGGTGTAAATAAATGATAATAAGCCTACCAAGTAAGCAGGTTTAATAATAAATTTGGCATCTTGTCTTTTAAGTATTGACTTTTGGACACTTTGCTGGTAAATGATTAAACAAGGAAGAATGTGACAACAGAGAATTGGTTTTGTCCTCAGGAAATGTGGGCAGTTTGGTGTGGGTGGGTAAGCACATGCATACATGAGTTGACACAGCTGAACTTCACCTCAGGCTTGTGCTCCAGATAACAGCAGAGTTCAGATATCCTCCTAACTTTTTATTTTGTCAAATCCCACCACCTTTTTGTGTTTCAGGAAATGCCTTACTGCAAAGAACACCCCCCCCCCCACCACCACCAAACCAGCTTAGATAAGACTGGCTGTCTACCCTTTCTCAGGACTCTCACCAGATTTGTAGATGGCCCTTTTGTTTACTTGTGACAGGCCAAACATGGACCTTTCTTCTCTTTTTGCTTGAAGGCACTGAAAGGCCAGATCCCCTCCCTGTTCTTTGTCTCATGAATGATTAGCTGAGATGAGAACTATTTGTCCCTTTCTGAATCTAGCTAGACACAGAGATAAACATTTCCTGTTCACCCGATTGCAAAGTATTCCAACTGTAAATTATCCTGCCTATAATTGCTTACCCTTCCCTATAAAAGGGTAAGGCAAATTAATAGATACTGTGTGGTGTTCTTCCTATTTTTTAGCCTAAACAAAATCTATCTCCTTAGTTGTTTTGTTTTTTCCTTGGCCACAGCTCATTCAAGTTTTCATATTTTCAGTGACTAAGGTTGGTGGTTAATTGGCAAAAATACACCTTGCCTTATACATCTGAGCTTTGTAATATCAAGAGGAAGAAATGACTGCTCTTTTGAAGCCTGCAAGAATATCTTCTTCCCAATTTACTGTCATCTTGCCCCAGGTTTGGTAACTATAACAAGGAACCATCTTCCCAAAGGCTCTCTGGGGCACAAGACATCACCTGGGCTCCAGCATCAGCCTATATTAGTCAATCCTTAGCATATGCTCAGTAGCCTCTGAGCTTCCTGCTAATGTGCTGAAAACTTTTGAAAACTGAGAATTTTTTTTAAACATTATATATTTTTAAGCGTTTATTTATTTTTGAGAGAGAGAGAGAAAGAGAGGGGGGCGGGGCGGGGCAGCGCGGGGGGGACCAAGGAGCAGAAGCAGGCTCTATCCTGAGAGTAGAGAGCCCAATGGGAGCTCAAACTCACAAACTGTGAGATCATGACCTGAGCTGAAGTTCAATGCTTAACCAACTGAACCACCCAGACACCCCAAAAGAGTGTGAGAATGTTTAAAGCAGAAATCCTTGGTGGGACACCTGGGTGGCTCAGTTGGTAAAGTGTCCAACTCTCAGTTTCAGCTCAGGTCATGGTCTCACGATTGGAGAGAGTGAACCCTGCATCGGGCTTTGCTCTGGCAGCATGGAGCCTGCTTAGGATTCTCTCTCTCTCCATCTCTCTCTGCCCCTCCCCTGCTCCCTCGCTCTCTCTCTCTCTCAAAAAAAAAAAAAAAATCTTAAAGTAGAAATCCTTGGGCCACCTGGGTGGCTCAGTCGGTTAAGCATCTGACTCTTGATTTTACCTCGCAGTTGTGAGATCCAACCTCACATTGGTCTCTGCAGCAAGCATGGAGCCTGCTTAGGATTCTCTCTCCCCCCCCCTTCTCTCTCTGCCCCTCTCGTGCTCTCTCTCTCTCTCTCTCTCAAAAATTAAATAAATAAATAAATAAATAAATAAATAAATAAATAAATTTTTTTAAAAAAGTAGAAATCCTCTAGATATCTAACTGTATATGAGATTGCAGAATTGATCTGATGAGCATTGGAAGGGGCTTTGAATGAAGATATATAATATAGATGCTCTTTTGACATTTGTGTTTCACTTAATAACATCATTTTTCTCCTCTAGGAGTCTGTTTAACCTCTGAACACAAAAGGTATTATGGAAGAAATATGTATTTATTCAGTTTCACTTGTCACAAGGAAGAAAAAGCAACCACTTTCCTGTACTTTGCTAAAAGGCATGTTTTCTACAAAACAATTCTAGAAGTCAAAAAGGAAAGTTTCCATTTATTCTTTCATTTTTTGCATTACAGATACAATCTTGAGATTAATAAACTCCATCTGAGCATCCTTTGCAAAGCATCTGTGTTGTGAGTTCAATGTTAAATGATTATGGACTAGAGAATAAATAAATGAATAAGTAAATAAATAAATAAATAAATAAATCCTGATTAATGAAACAGTTTTTGACTTGGATTTAAAAATCCAGATGACAATGTTATTTGGTGGCATTTTCATAGAAATGTGTAGAACATATTTAATGAATTCAAATTAGGAAGTTTTTTCCAGGTTCTCTTAAAATTAGGCCTAAAGCATCAGCAGAAACAGATGTACAAAAATCTATTAATTATTGTATCTTTAAAATTCTACCATGCTTTGTAAGAATTATTAGAATTCTAATGACTAAAGGGGTCTATATATAAATGTTTATGACTATAAAAACTTTTATCCTGCATATAGACTATGTGGAAAGGTTAGGAAGTTTTTTCCAGGTTCTCTTAAAATCAGGCCTAAAGCATCAATAGAAACATATGTACACAAATCTGTTAATTACTGTATCTTTAAAATTCTACCATGCTATGTAAGAATTATTAGAATTCTAATGACTAAAGGGATCTATATATAAATGTTTATGACTATAAAAACTTTTATTCTGCATATAAGAAAGATCACCTATTTACTTCTCAAGCACTTTCACTGCCCACCACCACCTCGTTTTCATTGAAATATCAAGATTTACTTTCATATAAATATTTTCTAGTCTGCCTCTAGAGAATAATTAAGCAGAACCAACAACACTGAAGATAATTAAAATCTTGGAATAGATTTCAGAGGTAGCAAGAAATAACATCAAAAAAAGTGTAGACCTTTATGCACCATAGCAACAGAGAGCCTGGATTTTGAGCCTAAATCAACCAAATTATTTTTGTAGTATAAATACACAGCTAAAGTTATCTTAGCATTTTCACAAAATAATCTCTTTACTCTGAATCAATGCATAAGATATCAAAAGCAATGTCCATTTCTTTTTCTAAATTAATTATAAACTGAGTTTATCTAAGGTCAAAAAAGCAGCATCTTCTATTTTTTTCCCCAGTTTTGTTGAGATATAATTGGTATATAGCATTGCATAAATTTAAAGGGTACAACCCAATAATGTGATACACATATTATCTTGTGTCCAATTACCACAGCAAGGTTAACACCTCCATGACCTCACATACTTACATTTGTGTGTGTGTGCATGTGTGTGTATGGTAAGAATATTTCAGAGCTACTTTTTTTTTTTTAATTTTTTTTTTCAACGTTTATTTATTTTTGGGACAGAGAGAGACAGAGCATGAACGGGGGAGGGGCAGAGAGAGAGGGAGACACAGAATCGGAAACAGGCTCCAGGCTCTGAGCCATCAGCCCAGAGCCCGACGCGGGGCTCGAACTCACGGACCGCGAGATCGTGACCTGGCTGAAGTCGGACGCTTAACCGACTGCGCCACCCAGGCGCCCCGTCAGAGCTACTCTCTTAAGAAACTTTCAAATATATAATACAGTACTGTTAATGATACACAGAATGTATTCATCTTATCACTGGAAGTTGGTACCCTTTGACCAACATCTTCCCTTTTCCCCAGTACCCCATCCCTTGGCAACCACCATTTCACTCTATGTTCCTATGAGTTCAGCTTTTTTAGATTCACATATAAGTGAGATCATAGTGTTTTGTCTTCCTCTGTCTGACTTATTTTTTAAAATTTTTTTAAATGTTTTTTTTTTTTTTTTATTTTTGAGACAGAGAGAGACAGAGCATGAGCAGGGGAGGGGCAGAGAGAGAGGGAGACACAAAATCTGAAGCAGGCTCCAGGCTCTGAGCTGTCAGCACAGAGCCTGACATGGGGCTTGAACTCACAGACTGTGAGATCATGACCTGAGCTGAAGTCAGACACTTAACCAACTGAGTCACCCAGGAGCCCCTCTGTCTGACTTATTTCACTTAGCATAAGGTCCTCAAGGTTCACCCATGTTGTCACAAATGGCAAGATATCCTTCCTTTTGTGTCTGAAAGGTATTCCATTTTATATAGATAGATAAATATATGTACAATATCTATAAAGATATATATTAGATATAATACATAGATAAAATACATATATAGATATAATAGATAACATATGTTATAGATATAATAGATATTTAGATAGATATGTAATAGCATATATATTATAATATATATCACATATGTCATATTTTCTTTATCCATTCATCTCTCGATAGACACTTAGGTTGTTTCCATGTCTTACCTATTACAAATAATGATGCAGTGAACATGGAAGTGCAGATATCTCTTTGAATTATTTCAGTTCCTTCAGATATATATCCAGAAGTGGGATTGCAGGGTTATATGGTAGTTTAACTTTTTGAGGAACCTCCATACTGTTTTCCATAGTGTCTATACCAATTAACATTCTCATCAACAATGCAAGAGGTTTTCTTTTTTGCACATCCTTGCCATAATTTGTTATTCATTTCTTTTTCATAATAGCCATTCTAACACATGTGAATCTCATTTCAGTTTTGATTTGCATTTTCCTGATGATTAGTGATGTTGAGCATCTTTTCATGTATCTGTTGACCATCTGTATATCTTCTTTGGAAAAATGACTCATTCAGTTCCTTTGCCCACTTTTAAAATGATTATTTGGGTTTTTTTCTATTGAGTTGTATAAGTTCGTTATGAATTTTGAGTATTAACTCCTTATCAAATAGTTTGCAACATATTTTCTTCCATTCCATAGGTCTTTTTATTTTGTGGTTTGTCTTTTTTTTTTAAGTAAGCTCTAGGCCCAAAATGGGGCTTGAACACATGACCCTGAAATGAAGAGTCACATGCTCTACTGACTGAGCCATCCAGGAGCCTCTGTTGTTTTTTTCTGCTGTGCAAAAGCTGTTAGTTTGATGTACTCCCACTTGTTTATTTTTGCTTTTGTTGCTTGTGTTTTTGGTGTCATATCCAAAAAATTGTTATCAAAGCCCATGTCAAGGATTTTTTTCCCCCTATGTTCTCTCCTAGGAGTTTTACAGTTGCGGGTCTTCTATTTAACTATAATTCCTTTTGAGCTAATTTTTTTGAGTGGTGTGAGATAGGGTCCAATTTTATTCTTTTGCATGTGATTATTCAGTTTTCTCAGCACCATTTACTATTAGTGTATAGAAACACAATTGATTTCTGCAGGCTTACTGCATTTATTAGTTCTAATAGTTTTTATGTGGAGTCTTCAGGATTTTCTCCATATAAAATCATATCAGCTGTAAAAAGACAATCTTCCTTCTTCCTTTCTGATTTGGATGCCTTTTATTTCTTTTTCTTCTCTAATTGCCCTGGCTAGGATTTCCAGTACTATTAAATAGTGGTGGTGATAGTTGGAACCCTTGTCTTGATCCTGATCTTAGAGAAAAAGCTTTCAACCTTTCACCATTGAGCATAATGCTAGCCATGTGTTTGTCATACATGGCCTTTATTATACCCAACTTTTATCCCCAACTTTTTCACAGTCTTTATCATAAAAGCATGTAGAATTTTGTCAAATGCTGTTTCTGTATCTACTGAAATAATCATATGATTTTTATCTGTATGATGTATTACATTTATTGATTTGCACATGGTAATTCCATCCTTGCACCCCAGAGATAAATCCCACTTGATCAAAAGGTGTATGATACTTTAAATTTATTATTGAATTTGGTTTCCAGACATTTTGATGAAAATTTTGCATCTATATTCATGAATATTTACATCATATTCATCAATATAGTATAGTGGCCTATAGTTTTCCTTTCTTGTACTGTCCTTATCCAATTTTGGTATCAGAGTAATGCTGGCCTTATAAAATGAATTTGAGCATATTCTCGCCTCTGAAATTTTTGGAAGTTTGTGGATTGGCATTAACTTTGTTTGGTAGAATTCATCAGCTGGTCCTGGGCTTTTCTTTGTTCAAGGTTTTTGATTACTGATTGAATCTCCTTACCTATTATTTGGTCAATTTGTATTTCCTATTTCTTCATGATCCAGTCTGGGTAGCTTGTATGTTTCTAAAAACTTATCAATTTTTTTCTAGGTTATTCAATTTTTTGTTGTATAATTGTTCATATTAGTTTCATAATCTTTTGTATTTCTGTTGTTTTGGTTGCAATGGCTCTCATTTCTGATTTTATTGAGACTTCTCTCTTTTCTTCTTAGTCTAGCTAAAGATTTGTCAATTTTGCTTGTCTCTTTAAAAAACCAGGTCTTAGTTTTATTGGTCTTTACTATTCTTTACCTGGCCTCTATTTCATTCCATTCTGTTGTGATCTTTCTTATTTTCTTCCTTCTGTTAACTTTGGACTTAGTTTATTCTTCATTTTTTAGTACCATGACGTGTAAGATTGGGTTGTTTATTTGAACTATTCCCTTTTTTCTTAATATAAGCATTTATCACTATAAACTATACCCATAGATTTGGGTATGTTGTGTTTACATTTTCATTTGTTTCAAGACATTCTTTTGCTTCTCTTTTGATTTCTTCTTGATCCACTGGTTGTTTAGGAGCGTGTTGTTTAATTTCCACATATTTATGAATTCTCCAGTGTCTTTTTTTATCCATTTACTTTGAGCCTATATGTGTCCTTAATGGTGAATTTCTTCTAGGCAGCATATAGTTTGGGGCTTTTTTTTTTTTTTTAATTTTTTTTTTCAATGTTTATTTATTTTTGGGACAGAGAGAGACAGAGCATGAACGGGGGAGGGGCAGAGAGAGAGGGAGACACAGAATCGGAAACAGGCTCCAGGCTCCGAGCCATCAGCCCAGAGCCTGACGCGGGGCTCGAACTCACGGACCGCGAGATCGTGACCTGGCTGAAGTCGGACGCTTAACCGACTGCGCCACCCAGGCGCCCCACATG